TAAGAGTATCTCCTTTTGGAATCAACCGAATTTTATACATTTTATGCTCTTATTATTATTTTTATATATCTATTTTTTTCTAAAAAAATATCATAAATAATAATAAAAGGGTTCTTTCAAAAATAAAGAGGAGTTCAAAATATTTTATAAGTAGAAATACATTTTTAATATGAAAATATTTACCTAACCTTTCAATGAAACGCTTACATTTTTAACATTATTTTAATACCATTTACTGTATAAAATACCTTTATTGCATCACCCCTACTTTATTTTTTGTGTTTAAATTATCAACAATTTGTACTAGATGAACTTATCAAATTATATCAAATTTTTTTTTTTAAATTATAATAATTTTTTAAAAAAATTTTTACTTAAAAAAAATATCACTGAATATTTAATACCGATACATGTCTAAAATTTTCAGGGCTTTCAAACCGAACCTGAAACTCGGAGGGATAAACCGGGTTCAGGGAATTTTATTAGAGAATCAACAAAACCCGAATTCGTTTTCAAACTCTTTACGAACCCGTTCCTAACTCTTATTTTAAAAAAAAATCAATAAAGAGGCTGGACATTTTGCTCATAAATGGCAACAATGTTTTGGAGGCTTACATATTATTAATTTGCCTAAATAGACCCAAGGCTTCTTAACAACATAAGACTCGAGCTATGAACCTGCTCAAGTGACATCAGTGATTTCTACATTAATAAATAAATATTAAAGTATATGTGGGTAAAAAAAAGTTATAAATATTTATGAGATTATAATGCATTTTGATTTAGTCTGGTTTAGTTTGAATAAAACCCTGGAACCTAAAGAGCCCCTTTTTTTGGCCAAACCCATCTTGAACCAAACCGGGTTTTCGATTTTATCCGGTTTTAAACCAAAACCGAACCTGATCAAAATAATGTGCGGGTTTGAAGCTCTTATAAATATATTTTATATAATTAATGTTACTAATTAGTGTTGTATAAATGTTACACTGCTTCTCTTTACTTCTTGGAAAAAAACAAAATAAATATCATTATATAATAAAGCAACTCACAAATTAATATCTAATAATTAATTATACAAATTTTGATAATTATTATTATAATTATATATAACTATTTATTTTTAGTTTTGGAAATTCATATAGAAAAAGGGGAAACCTTTAGTGATTAAGAGTTAACGCAGTTTCCAGGAATCTCCATAAAGAACGGGAATTATTTATGTCGTTAAATTATCAGGAAGTTATCTCAGGTGGGGGGGGGGCAGACATTTTCTTAGTCAAAATACACCATTTTTCATATTTTAGTCGTCAGGGAGTTTCAGAATTCCTTAATTCAGGTGGGATCAGAGGATACTGACCGCACTTTTAATTGAATGATAGAAGCAGTAACATCGTTAAGTACTGAAAGTGTATAATTCACTTTTCTAAAGGATAGTTCAATAAGGTTGTTAAAGATCAACTGCAGGATGATTCTGCAAGGTTTTGTGTAGAGCTTAAACAGATTGTAGTGGATAGTTTTATAAAAAAAATTGTATATAACAAAGTGATGGTGGAGGGTAATTAGAGACAAAAGAGTTTTTTTTAAAGATTCCATAATGTGGAAAAAGCTATTAAATTGTATTGGAGATACATTTAAAATCTTGTTTGAGAGCTGGAAATAATCGATTTGTAAAATTAGAAAAGGGGTCAAAAAGAGCTATACTATAAGTATAAGTAAATATTTAGAGTAGAATTTAATGATTTGGCATCGGTGCAAAAAGACTTTCGATAAAATATTAGAAGGAAGAAAGAAAGAAAGAAAGAAAGAAAGAAAGAAAGAAAGAAAGAAAGAAAGAAAGAAAGAAAGAAAGAAAGAAAGAAAGAAAAAATAATAATATGTAATCATATGAAGACTGAAATCGTGTATTTCATATTAACATACTTGGAATAAAAATTTGCGAAGACAATAAATGATAAAAGATGGAAAAATATAGTTTTTCCTCAAATAAAAAGTTAAGGGTGTTCGTTTAGAGAAACTGCGTGAGTAAAAGTTCCATGACTTGATACATAATTAAACATTAAGTTTAATAAATTTATTAAGTTTTTAATCTATAATAACATCTTCAATTTTGTTATTTTGAAAGTATGATGAAATAATAATTATCAATTAATATTTTATATAATAAATTTTTTAAAAATTTTTTTTTTAATTATAAATTGGATAATTTTTTGTAAAAATTTGGAAAATTTTTAAAAAAATAAATTTTTTTTAAAAATGTTTGGGCAACTAAGTTTGCTAATTTTTATTATAAAAATGTATGAGCCCTCTTTGGAGGCATTTCAAAAGAATAATCAAGATGGAGATTCTGAAGGTAAGTTACAGTTACAAATAAATATCTATATATGTAATGTCATTTCTACAACCCCTCCCATGTAAACTATTTAACTATTTATGTACCACTTCCTAACTCCCCCCCCCCCCTAAATATAAAACATTTAGATAGTTTATAAATTATATATTCTTTCAGAATTGATTTCTACGGTGATCATAGCGAGACATGGAGCTCAATACGAAACGAGGCGATTAAAAGGGCCAAATTTTCCCAATTACACTTGGCACAGGGAAGAGAAGGGTCAAATATCACAAAAAGGATATGAAGACGGTTTCAAATTGGGTAATTTTATATGGAACAGATATTTCAAGGGAGCAGATTTATTGAATGAATTGTTACGGTCAATATTCTTCGCCGATGATACGGATGAAACGAAGGTAAGTTTAGAAGCCATTTTATTAGGGTTTCTCTCGGATCATATAAGTAGTCTGGGATTCGTGGAAGTGAACGCATCTAATATTGGAGGAATGAGAAACATTTTACCAACCCTTCTCAAGAAATTTAATGTTTGCATTAAGAATATTGATTCGAGGAATGATGTTTTCCGAAAGAACGATATAGATGTAGAAACATACCTTAAAAGCATGTTCAGGTTTATTTTAAATTTAGGAAGGATAGTAATCAGTAATAGTTTGCTGTATAACAAGCAATATTGCCTGGATATAACCAAGGACTCAATAAATTCTTTAAGGGCATGGACTGTGTCTCCTAGCAAGGAAAATGGTTTTAAAACGATAAAGAAACGCGAATCTCAAAATATTTTGCGAGAAATATTGGATGATCATAGGTCACAAGTAAACAAAATTTCATTAAATATGACTTTATTAAGACTTACCTTTGACCAGTCCGGATTTAAAAGCAGAGCATTAAAAGATTACTATGAATTTATAAGAATATTACCTAAGATATCCGATTCTTTAACCGCTATTATAGAAAATGGTTACCCTTTGCCATTCTGGGTAAATAATAAGGTATTGACCAAGCTAGAGAAATATGATAAAATGCTGTACACATTACCCATAAATAACGACAGGGTTTTGCAAGAGAAACTGGCAGGAGAGCTGTTTAACCATATTAAACAACATTTTGCGAATGTTATAGCCAGGAGAGAGGAGTTCAAAAATATAGACCAATCTTCCAAGGATATTTTACGTGAAAATTTATCAAGAACAAGCTTGAGAATGTATATGACCCGCGAATACAATTTGGCGGCCTTGATAAATTTATTTGGGGGAAAGTGCGCGACTAGACCTAAGGGATTCTCGGCTATAATTGTAGAGCTATATTATACGCCTCTTTCGAAACAGGTTATTACTACGATACCCTTCAACGAATCGCTAGTCAAATACTCCGCAAATTATCAAGGTGTGGCGGAACCCGGAAGACAAAAAGAATAATTACATATTGAATTTTTTTTATAAATCCGGGCCCGAGACTGCGCTATCCCAATTCATAAGAAACGCGAGTCTAGACGAGTTACAAACTTTAGATACGAATTACTTTAACCTTAAATGTTCGGATTAAAATTTAACAATATCTGTTCGAATTCTTTTTGATTACCGTAAATATAAAAATTATATCTATTAAGAATTGTGATTAGCTTTGGGGAAAAAAAAAATTGTTTATAGTATATTAAAAATAAATAAAAAAATTTGTGGGATTATCGCTCTCAAATGATGAGATGTATTTAAAAAAAATTTTTTTAAACCCACTAACCTACAGTTCCACAGTAGAGTAATGAAAATAATATAAACTCTCAATTTGATCATCAAAACAATCTCTTAAATTTCACCTTTTTATTAAGTTGAATCGTGTGCCCATGTTCAGGCGAGGATATTTTTTTTCTTCAAATAATAAAAATGATTTACAAGATTACTTATCAATGCCAGGCCTGCGGATGAGGCTTTGGACCGGGTTGCGCAAATCTCTCGGTTCTTTTTTGGTTAATTTATTTATATTTCCCATCAAAAGTATTTATGGCGCAGATTATTGAAGATCTGCATATAGCTCATCCACAAGCTGAGCCATGACTAAAAAAAATTTGCCCGACAAGATGATTGGTGCCAAATATTTTGAAGGAAATTTCACTAGCCTGGCTAGATAAAATGGGCTGATTCTTGTTATATAGTTTTTAATTTTTAACGGGAGTTTTAGTTTGTAACTGGCCCAGTTCATAAGTTTTTTTTGTATAGATCATGGTTAAGATGATAAAATAAGGCCATTTATAAATATATCCATGACATCAGCTGGGGTCGATTTTAAACAGTTAAAGTAATTTGAAAATCTCGCCTATGTCTCCTAGAAAATTTTAGAAGTAATATTGAAAATAATTTTAATAGATGCTAAGAACATAAACGTATTAAATTTTAGTTTTTTAAAAAAATAGCTAGGAGAAATATCATCAATATTACTTTTAAAATTTTATAAGAGATCAAAGTGAAATTTTTTTTCTTTTGGTGTTATGCGATTTAGAATGGGGACGCATAAGCTAGAGGCATCCTCTCGCGTTAATTTTTAATATCCTTTTTTAGCAAATATTTTAATTTTTTTAGGTATCGTTTATATTATGTTACATTTATATTTTAATATATAAAAACTATCTATAATTTTGCAAAATAAGATACACACAAAATAAGAAATAATAAGAAAGGCTAATATAAGTATAATATATCGAAATGTGACTTGTAAATTAATCAAGCAATTTTTTTTTTTAAAAATATATATATTTAAACGACGTTTATTAACAAATTTTTATCTTGATATATAATAAATATATAAAGCATGAATTTCATTTCTGATCGTCTGAATTATTTTCCTTCTGCCTAAGTTGCTTATCCCACATTTCGGCATACAGCCCATTCTTTAAAGTTAGCAATTGTTGATGACTGAGTGCGAAAAAATAAAATAATATATATCATATTTGATAATTATTTAAAAAATCCAGGAAATTTGGAATAAAAAAAACCCATACTAAAAGAAATCTTATATTTTTAATGGAGTAATAGGTCATTTCTTCATTCCTTCGTACCAATCCAAATCCAAGATAAATTAAGGCATAAGCAATTTGCTAGAGTGAGTTTCCATCTTCGCATTTTTTGGTTGAAAGGAATTCGATTATTCAAATTTAAATTCGAAAATCAAAACTCTCAAAACAAGATTTAGAAATCTTGCAATTAAAACTGGCAAAAAATATTATTATTTACCCGCGTAACTGCGAAATAAAGAAAAAATAATAAATACCTTCCCCTCTCCACGATGCATCCTTTATCGATCACTATAATTTCGTGAGCCTGCACGACGGTCGAAAGCCTATGGGCTATGATCACGATAGTGGCATCGTTCCCGAATACTTTGTTCAAATTGTTTTGAATTATAGACTCGGTGTTGGAATCGAGAGAAGAGGTAGCCTTTTTTTGTTTATAAGTTGATTGTGTAAAAAGGAAATTGCAAAAAACTAATAAGCGAGGTTTAATTTTAGTTAAATGCAATAAAACCCATCATTTTTATATATGAGATGGAATCACGTGATCACCACCGATACTCTATATAATCCTCCCGGCATGGAACTACCCAGTTAGCTTTAGAAAGAAAATAAAACATGGGTTTTGCTGGGATCGAACCAAGAATGATAGGATTAATGATATACACTCTTACCTATTAGGTCACGTCACAGGCGTTTTCCGAAATTGACCATTTTTTAAAAAATATAGATTATTATAAAACATATGAAAAAAATACAAATGTACTAACTTCGGTAGTAAACTAACAATAACCCATATAAACGAAGAGTAATAAGCGGTTCATGTTCAGGTTCTCCAAAAATATTTTTTTAAAATAAGAGACATAGTCCGCAAGTGGTGGATTACACTCGCCCATACTAAGACGGCTGGGTTAAAAAACAACTTTAAATATTAGGTGGGTAAGTTAAAAAAAATATTTAAAATACAATGGATGAGCGGGTGTATTATAAATATTTTATAATCAGGATGAACCACCTATATTTATAGTGTGAACAAATTGAGCATTTATAACGCTGCGTGGCAAGCGCAAATTATGCCTTTTAAATGGCCTCGTGCAAATTGGTAAAATTACAGTTTGGCGTTGGCAACCATTTTAAAAAACGCAAACAGGTTAGCTATTTCAATACTTTTTTATTCTTCGCTTTGTAATATTGTATATAAAATGAAATATAAATAACTTACTTATATCCTAAAAAGGAATATTTAGAAAATAAAGAAATAAGAAAGCAGACGAGAATCTAATTTACAAAGATAAATCCTTTTTTTAGAACTTATTTAAAATTTTGAATCTACAGATATTAATAAAAAGACAACCTAAATTTAAACAAGGGATGTGTTACGTTTTTTTTTATTTAAAAAATTACGGCAAAACCTAAACGCTCAATTTGTGCAATTTATTACAGGTTTAAGTAAGAATATATTAATGTATAAGAAGAAGAGAGACAAGCCAACCAATCAAATAATTTATAAAAAAGGTAGGCGCGGGGAGGGGGGGGGGCAACAAAAACTTTAAACTAATGGGTGGAAAGGGGAGGGTCATTTTTTTTAAAGAGAATGGATGGGCGCGCATGTTAAAAAACTGCCCATTACAGACCTATAAAAACATTCAAGAAAAAAATAATGAATGGCAAACTTCGTCTAAAAGGATGATTTTTGGCGATTTTAAAATAACGCGAGCTATTGCTACCCTTTGTTTTTCGCCGCCACTCAACCTGAGACCTCTTTCACCTACAACCGTTTCGTAACCTGTATTCAGTAAATTAATCAAGATATATAGTGGAACCAAAATAAATATGATATTCGATTTCATTTTTCTTTAATTTTCTTACATTTACTTTGGAGTATTTAAAAACAAATATATCCACAAAATGAATAAAAAAATTTTGTCCCAATATTTAAAAAAATTTCAAAACTTTCGTAAATTTATAAAATGATGAAAAATGTCCAAAATCTTTCATTAATTTTTTTTTATAGTTTTGTAAATTTCGAATAGCCCATTTTCATATTATAATTGGAAAAATATAAATTTCTTATTTCTTATTTTTTTTCGCACAATTTTTATAAGCTTTATAAACCTTTAAGCTAAAATTTATTATTTATAATTTCTACAACTTTAAAAAATTAATAAACTTTAGTAATTTCGAAAAAATGATTTAGGCCACTATTTTATTTTTAGATCAGAGTTTATTTATTACATTTTTAATATTTGGAACCCAGCCTAAAATAGAAATAAACCTGCAGAATTATTTCCTTTTTTTTTGTATTTTATTTTATTTAATTTAATCTAAAAAACAAACCTTTGGGCATATTTCGGGATATGGTATCATGAATCAAAGCGCTGCGAGAAGCTTTTAGTATGGCTTCACTCGTGTTTTCGGCGTTTTTTTCGGTGTCGGTATTCGCGTCGAACGAAGAATTAAGGAGAGAAAAGGTTCCATAATCGATGTTGTAATTGATGGATTTATTGAACAAAATGGCGTCTTGTGGCACGTGACCAAGTTGAGAGCGGAGAGATAAAGGATCTACCTAAAAGTTATATTTTTTTTAAAAAAACGATCGTTTCTCATTTCTTTTACTGTCTTTGTCATTTTTAAAAATGATTTTTTTTTAAAAAAAGAGGAATATCTTTATACTAATAAGAACATTCATTCATTCGAGAATAAAACGAAATCCAGGTGGTTACAATTTTGCGCTCATAAGATTACACACTAAAAATATGAAAAGAAAGAAAATGAAAAAAACAATATATTAGGATTGAATAAAAGAAAAGCGAAGAGGAAAAAAATTAAGATAAAGTTTCCAAACATTACTACCTCAGCTATATCCTGATCGTCTATCAGTATTTGGCCTTGGGTGGGCCGATAAAGCCCGAAGATTAGTTTAAAAATCGTGCTCTTCCCGCTGCCGGATGGTCCTACTATGCCTAAAATCTTGGGATTTTGCGTCGAAGCTGCTATACCATCGTGATTCGAAAAGCTTCCGATTTCGAAATTTATTCCTTTGAGGGCGTAATTGATGGAAGGCGTGGAAGAATAATCTATGGCTGATTTATTTTGATCCTTGTCATTTCCGGTGATTGGCGATTGGTTATTATTTCCATCCTTGACTTTCGACGATTGGTACGAGAAATAAACGTCCCTGAACGTTATTTTGCCGTCAGTAATGAACAAGGGAGGTAAGATAGTCTTCTCGATAGTGTCGTAATCCGTTGATCGAGAACCATTGTTATTATCGCAAGGCCATGGTGGGTTATTATTTCGGGATTCTTGTATGTATTGTAATTTAAGGGGACCCGTTTTATCGTAGGGAGTTTGTTTTATGAGATCCACCAAGTTTTCCAGGTCTATCAAGGATTGCTGAATACTCCTAAAATTAAATAATTATTTATTTAAAATTGTTCTTTTTTTATATAGAGTAATTTTATTATTTTTAATCAAATTTAACATTATAATTATTATATTCAATAGTATCTTTTAGTTTAAATTTTGTCCTTTTTTTCCCAAAAAATTACCTAATTATAAGTTTAAAAAAAATATACTATAAAAATAGAAGTGGTTTTGGTATTCGACATTATTTATAATTTATCCAATATCCTCATTCATATTTACTTTCTTCTCTTCTCTTTGATTCTTACTTTCCTTTTTACTTTTTTTTCCTCTTTCTAAAAGATTAATACCGTAGGTAGATGTAGACCCTACTTAAATCTAAATACAACCAAAGGAGTAGAAAATTTGACTGATAGTTAGGCAGTTATTTCCTAGGAGAAGGTCTGGTACAATGACATATAATAATACCTAGACTGAAGATACATTGATTAAAAGTGTACATCAGTGAAAAACCGCTAGGGACGCCGTTCTGGTTACTCATATCATCATTAAAAAATTTAAACGGGAGGCCAATTTGTTCCTATGTATAACGCAAACTTTATTAAAGAATTGTCTGATCATCGAGATAACAAGGAAGCGAGTTATCAACTTAGTAGTTTATGAGGATAATTACTATATGGGTTGACAAAATGGCGGGTCCAGCTGATTTGCCAACGACGCTTTCAAATGCATTATTATGAATGCATCTTCAGTCTAGGTAATATCATATGCCATTGGTCTGGTATTATAGTATGGAATTTACGCCCAAGCTGTATTGCCATCTCCGCTTTAAATTGAATAAGAGCAGATTTTTTTTTCCATCAATAGCCGAAACATTAATATCTATTTTGTTTTACTCGTGGTAACATTTCTAAAATAATAGAAATTTTTTTAAAAAAGGATAGGAACTTTCCAGTACTGATTCTAAACAAAAATTAACATCGCCAAAACTTTGGTTCGAGAGAGACAAGAAGATCAATTTTTTTTCACTGACTATTGATTTAATTAGGTAATCGGACGAAAATAGGGCATAATTACTCTAAATATAGAAAAATATTAAGTTAATGTTATCAAGTGGCAGGCGTGACTCAGATTTCCAGATTTGGGCTGAGTAATGAACTAGAAGTTTATGTAGCTCTTAATATAAAGGTATTCATAGCTCTTAGTGTCTAAGAAGTTACAGATATGGGCTGAGGGATCAATCTTTAAGATTTTAGGGTTTAAGGGCAGGTGTGGGGGTAGTGTATCTAAAAAATGGTTTAATATAAATTGTTATATATTTTTTCAACCCAATCGAAGAATTGGATATACATCTTTCATATTTAAAATTGAATTTTTAATTAACGCGATATATATATAAAGCAGTTTATACACACAAAAAAGTATAAATTAAATTAATTTTTATATTTGAAATTAGGAAAAATAAAATTGTACTTCTAATTGGGAAAAAAAGATAAACCTGTAAAAAGTACCGAACCAATTGAGAGGGGCGTATAGCTGGGAAAGGTAACTCACGTAGAGCACAAAATCTCCAACCGTCAAAAAAGAGGTTGAGTGTGTAGAGGCATGCGCGTTGACTATTTGATAAGCGCAGAGAAGACCACCACCCAATAGACCAATCAGAACGCAGATGAGGCCTTGTATACAATTGAGCCCATTCAGGGAGGAAGAGGTTATCCATTCTTCTTTCTTTTAATATATATTGTTAATGTTTTAAATCTTTTTTAAAAAAAACGAATAAAACTGTTCTCTGTGTGCCAGTCTTATTTAATAAGAGTATATAGTACCTAATCATCAATCAATTCTCGATATTATTTATTTCAATCTATCAAACAACTAGATACACCAACTAAAAAAAATCTGATAAAAATGGAGTCGAAAGTGATAGTATCAAGCAAAAAACTAGATTTTTCCGATTTTTTAAAAACGGATTAAAACCGGTGCAAATAAGCCGCTTTCGGAACACAAGTGACTATACATAATTCTCGTAATATCAGGTTATTTTTTGCGAAAATGATACTTGAAAATTAGAAATCGCCTCGTCGTATTTGGAAATTTCGAACCATTCCGCTGCGTGGTATTTGACGGCTTCGAAATTGAAAAACGTTTCTGTAGCCTTGGACGTAATGATGTTATCTAAGCGATTCATTTCCCGCCTGTGACTGGTTCTCCACTCCGTAATCAAAATGGTGGATACTTGAGTAACAGGTAAATAAAATATCATTGAAATAAAAGGAATAATAGCTTTAAATTTAGGGGGATGAGACTTGCGTGAACTACACAAAGAATTAAGTTGAGAACCTTAAAAAAAAATTAAGCGTGGTTTTTGAACATATATAAATTAATTTGGAATAATATAGCAAGTATGTATCAAAGTTCTTTCAAAAAAATTGTTGTATATGTATACATTTGTAGTATCTTTTAACAAAACACTGGTAATATCGCCTAGCGACATTTTATCACACGACACTTTATCATGCGACACTTCATCACGACGACACTTTATCATGACGACACTTTATCACGACGACACTTTATCATGACGACACTTTATCATGACGACACTTTATCACGACGACACTTTATCACTCAATCATTTGATAACGCGACACTTTATCACGCGACATTTTATCATGATATACTTAAAACTTAATTTATTATAATTGAAAAGTTAAATTTTGATAATATCTCATTTTTTGACTTTCATCATGATATACTTAAAACTTAATTTATTATAATTGAAAAGTTAAATTTTGATAATATCTCATTTTTTGACTTTCATTATGATATACTTAAAACTTAATTTTATATATTTGAAAAGTTAAATTTTGATAATATCTCATTATTTGACTTTTCCGTCTAAATTCCAATATTTAAAAAATTTTAATTAATTTTTTATGTTAACGCCACTTTATCATGATATACTTAAAACTTAATTTAATATATTTGAAAAAATAAAATTTTGATAATATCTCATTTTTTGACTTTTCCGTCTAAATTTCAATATTTAAAAAATTTAAATTAATTTTTTTTGTATTTTTTGTATTTTTTTTATAGAGAAAAACTCATATTTTAATTTACATAAATATAATTTTTTTTAACTTAATTATCATCTTATATAGGGAAACAGGAGACATAAGCAATAATTTTCTATTTATACTTTTTATTAATAAGTAACTATAAATCAATAAAACACCACACTTAAATTAATGTGTTTATCTATTGATATTTTTTAAACTAATCGTTTTTTCACAAAGATTTATAATTTTTACCAATTAAGGTTTTGTATTTATTCATAAATATAATAATATTTTTTTTTCTATATATACCTCAATTTTCTATATTATTATATATTAAAGAATATTTTTTTTATTAATTATAATGTTTGAAATAGGATTTACATCGAAAAATAAACCTACCCTTTTATATCTAAATTACGAATATACTAAATTTAGGACAAATAAAAATGAATCAATATGCTGGAGATGCGCCAAATATAAATCTCTAAAATGCCATTCTTTTATTACAACAAAATTGAATGATATCTTAAAAGGTCCCCTTGATCATACTCATGAGGGTAACATTTCAAAATCTTATGCCCGAAAAGCAATATCAGAAATAAAATCCAAATTAAGTGAATATTCTAGTCCTTCTTTGGTCCACAACATTGTTAAATTATGATAATAATACCTTGATGGTTATGCCAAATAAGTCTGCCCTTTATCGATCCTTACAAAGGCATAAAAAATCGATCTCTACCATTATATTGCCTCCTATCCCTAAGGATCTCACTTTCTTATATCCGGAATGTTACAGGGATATGCTCAAATACGATTCTGGGCCAGATGATAATTTAAGATTTATAATGTTGAGCACGGACGAACTACACATTATCATAATTTAACAATGTTGTTGCATGGACCAAAGAAGGACTAGAATATTCACTTAATTTGGATTTCATTTCTGATATTGCTTTTCGGGCATAAGATTTTGAAATGTTACCCTCATGAGTATGATCAAGGGGACCTTTTAAGATATCATTCAATTTTGTTGTAATAAAAGAATGGCATTTTAGAGATTTATATTTGGCACATAATTTATATTTTTTACTCGTGATATATTGATTTATAGTTACTTATTAATAAAAAGTATAAATAGAAAATTATTGCTTGTCTCCTGTTTCCATATATAAGATGATAATTCAGTTAAAAAAAATTATATTTATGTAAATTAAAATATGAGTTTTTCTCAATAAAAAAAATTAATTTAAATTTTTTAAATATTGGAATTTAGACGGAAAAGTCAAAAAATGAGATATTATCAAAATTTAATTTTTTCAAATATATTAAATTAAGTTTTAAGTATATCATGATAAAGTGTGGCGTTAACAAAAAAAAATTAATTTAAATTTTTTAAATATTGAAATTTAGACGGAAAAGTCAAAAAATGAGATATTATCAAAATTTTATTTTTTCAAATATATTAAATTAAGTTTTAAGTATATCATGATAAAGTGTCGCGTTAACATAAAAAATTAATTTAAATTTTTTAAATATTGGAATTTAGACGGAAAAGTCAAAAAATGAGATATTATCAAAATTTAATTTTTTCAAATATATAAAATTAAGTTTTAAGTATATCATGATGAAAGTCAAAAAATGAGATATTATCAAAATTTAACTTTTCAATTATATTAAATTAAGTTTTAAGTATATCATGATAAAATGTCGCGTGATAAAGTGTCGCGTTATCAAATGACTGAGTGATAAAGTGTCGTCGTGATAAAGTGTCGTCGTGATAAAGTGTCGTCATGATAAAGTGTCGCGTGATAAAGTGACTCCAAATCGGTAATATATATCGCGTTTTATTTTGTATAGTATTGTTTCAAAAATTGCTAATATTAAAATATCAACGTACCTATATACATAATCATGGTTATGACGACGATTAATGAATACCAAACCCCAAAATACACCATCAAGTAGATTATGGCGACTAATATATCTATAAGAGTTGGGCCAACTTGGAAAGAAACGTAACTTTTTGGAAGCGTTTTTATTTTATATAAAATATACTGGTAAATTATATATAAATCTTTTTTTGGCGGGTAAATTTTGAGAAGATGTATCAATTAATTTCTTTTAAAGTAAAGGGAAAATTATATTTATATATATATCAGCTTCAATGTGTTTTTCCCGACAATGCGTTATTTTTTCAACTCAAAATCGTTTTTTGAGCGAGTAAAATTTAAAAATCTGATTTAACCGGAAATGTATGCCGACATGTTTGTAATACCTACCCTATAAATTTTAGACAATTTTGTCATGAACTTTAGAATTTAATAAAATTTACATTAAATTTTTTATATAAATCGTAAATGACTCAAAGGTTAACAGCAAAATTGTCTATAATTCATAAAATATCAGATTTTTAAATTTTTAAAAACGCGCTCAAAAAATGATTTAAAGTTGAAAAAATTACACATTGCCGGGAAAAACACATTAACGCTAACATATATATTATAAAAAAAAAATTGTCTTCTCGTGACATTTTCTTTAATCTTTCTTTATCTCTAATTTTTTTAACAAAAAATTATCTTTCTATCTATCTTTCTTTGTTTCATTCTTTTACTTTCCCATATAATATTAAAAATATAAATCAACTTTTCCATCCTCAGGAGGGGGAGATAATGTTTATAAAATATATTTTTTTATAATCAATTTTTTTTTAGTTTTTATTCTTCTTTATTCTTTCTAACTTCAGAATATTGTTTATGCTTTGAGTGCCCCGCTCCAGCACGCGTAAGATCTCCCCAGTTTTCTTGTTGATGTGCCATTCGAGTGAAAGGGAAAGAATGTGACTATACATTTCAACCTAAAAGGATCGTTATTATATGAATGTAAAATAATTTTAAAATTTTATTTTGATTTCACCAAAAGCCAATAATATAATATTAAACGGAATAATTTAATTAATATAAAAGGAATTTCATAAAGCTAGCAAAGAACCCCCAAAAAGGTACCCCCATTGACCTGGATTTTCGGTCCGAGTGGGATTTCTGAAATCATACTCAAGCCGGGAAAGGCCCCCAAATACTGTTGTTTAAAGGGTCGATTTGAGCCGATTTTTAAAAACAGCTAACTCAGTATTTTAACTTAGAAAAAATATTGCCTATGCCTCGAAATTTTGCTAGATGTCCAGTTAAAGACCTTTATGTCTTTAGCAAAATCTTCAGGCTTACAAAAATGATTAAAGTTAGCCATTTTTAAAAATCGGCTTACATCGAGCGGTTCAACAAACACTACCCGCGGTTCACGAGAAAATAATTGAATTAAAGGTCAGCAACGGGCGGATTTTCGTCTAATATTTTTTAAAAGTTGGGAGGGGGTGACAGGTGGGTTGGACGGGCGATGGGTGGGTGAATCTTAAACATTTTTGGGGATGAATGAGCCCCATTGCAGACCTCGTTTAAATTGAGCTGATTGTCAAAAAAAATGCTATTTTTCGTGCCTTCCTTTTTTAAGAAAAAAAAGAATGAATTTTATCGATAGTAAATTTGTGGAATTATAACAACACAAAATCAATTACCTGTAATTTTTTTGTCGAGTATTGTTGTATGGAAATCCACAAAAAAGAGCGAAAATTGGTGAGTAAACCAGAGCCACCTTTATTTATCGAAAAATGAATAGAAAAGGAATTTTTTTAATTATAAATGAAACAAAAAATGTGTGATAAAAGAAAGAAAGAAATAATTTTATTTTAAAAAGAAAGAAAACAAGAATTAAAAGAAGAGAAAATAAAAAAAATGAGGAATGAAATTACCTACTCCGAAGCCCTGCAGTAATTGCAAACCCACGAACACCAAAAAGGTTTTCCAACAGTATTCCTTCTTCGTAAGAGAATCAACTTTGAACGTTTAAAATAAATATTATGTAAAAATAACACATTACCGGAAAAAAACACATTGACGCTAACATATATAATTAAATCTAAATAAATCTTATTTTTTTTCAACTTAAGCATCGACTTTTATCTTCTCCTCGAATTAATATATATAAAAAAATAATTTGGATAAGTTTATAGTTTGTCAGCCAAAGGTTTGATAAAAAGTTTTTTTATCTTCTTTGAAATAAAGAATAAGAAATTCTAACTTATAGCCTTGTAAGTCATGGGTAGGGCTACGTTGATAACCCTGGCAGCTATAATGGCCATGATGCACAGGAAAAGTTTGAAACGCAATAACGGGACTCCTTTGGGCCATAAAAACGGGTAGAATAGTTTCATCTTAAACATCAAACCTTTCCAGGCCGAATTAGTAGGATCCGCTGGACTTGGGCCTATTTGAGACTGTAGATTGGTTGTGTCAGAATTGGTCTAAAAATTTTTTTTATTTGAAACTTCAAATGTCAATTATTTATTATTCTAAATTAATCTTAATTGGTAATCAACACGTTTTATTTTGTTTGATATATATCGTCAGCTGACTAGTGTTAGAATTGAACTGTTCTCCTTTTTGTTTTAGCAATAAATCTGTTAATTCTGAAAAATAATTCAATAAAATTTTGCACAAGAGGGGTAAATTATCAGATGTTTTTTTAAATTTCTTCGAATTCTATCAAAAGGGTCAAAAGTTATGCGCATTCATAGTCGGACAAACAAAAATCGAAATTTCCAATATGTAAAAAAAAATTTATTTTTAATTTATTAAACTTTATTGCATTTAAGCAGAAGATAATTTCTTGTAAAAAAAATGATTTTAGTAATGATAACTCGAATTTAATTATAATTTTAAGACTATAAAAACATTATGTAGCCAAAATTTTTATGAAGAAATTTTCCTAGCAGAAACTGGTCTATAGCAGCCTTGAATCGATTGATTGCAAAAATTGATGCTGCCGGATCAGCAGGAAAACGGTATGGCGGTGATAGATCACGCATATAACTCGTACTATAGAAAACGTTGATTCTGTTGAAACACTCGTATTGAGCCAAGAAGACCGACCCGGAATCCACAGAACAATTAGTCAAGAATCCAGAGAAACTGGTATTTTGCTAAATTTCAGTGCAACGGATTATCCGCAAAGAGCTGCAGCTGAGATGTTTAAAAAAGAAACAAGCCCTAGGACCTAACCGATGCGAATACGATTGACATTCTGGTACGTACCAAACAACTTCTAATGAAAATACCCTCAGATGTTCATTTTATATGGTTCACGAATGAAAAGCTGTTTAAAGTAACTCCACCGGTCCAAATGATAATTTGTACTTTGCAGTTTCAATGAAAAAAAACAAGTTGCAACCAATCGATTGCTAGTAACCTATTTGATTCAAATTAATTTTAAATGTTGAAGATTTTGTCGAATTGTAAGGTATAATAAAAAGAAAATCAAATTTGTTTGTCCAATTTTGAATGTGCATAACTTTTGACCGTGTGTTAATAGAATTAGATGAAATTTACAAAAAAAACATCTGATAATTTATCCCTTCCTCAATCTATACAATATTTTAATTAAATCATTTTTGAATTGACAGATTTATCGCTAAAACAAAAAAGGGTTATCAAGTTCAATCATTGTTACAAATTTATTCTTCTATAATACTATATTCTTTCTTCCATATCAACAATAAAAAATATTTTATTTAGAATAATCCACAGCGTGATCTCTTATTTAAAATGAAAACAAAAAAAATTTTTTTTAAATAAATGGATATAGATCACTATAATACTCAACCTCCGATACCCAACTTTTTTTTAAAAAATACAATTATTCCCAAACACGAGGGTGTTGCTTAGTTCGGCTTATTTCTAAATAATCAGCTGTTTAGCCGGCTATATAACTTCGACTAAACAGCCTAAAAAGTAAGAGAAAAAAAATGTGAAACAACAATGCCACCAAACACTTAAAACAAACCAAAAATAGGATTTAGCTCAACAATAAATAAGTAATTAGTTCGAATGGGTATATATATTTTTTATATTATAAAAGGAGATTATATTTCCACGAAACAAAATAAAAACTAACTTTATTGCGTTGAAATCTGATGTACCAAGAATCACTAGCAGGCGGATTGTCGGGCGAATTTCTTTGATGAATGTACGTGAAGATGGGAGTACTTAAAAGCGCGGGGGCCCTTATCCCTATCAAGAATAGGGTGGTAGTGCAAATGTACCGCAACGAAAAAAGCGAAACTTCTAATTTATCCGATAAGCTTTTTACGTTATTAATTTTTGCGATTATTAGATATTAATAGTTAATAAACTATATAATATTTTTAAAAAATATTAGTAAAATATTGTTTGGCCTAAAGGAAAATGGCGATGTTATAAATGAGTGAAGGACCGCACCGATATATCAAAATTTATTTCTAAGATCCGAGTCCCATTTAGAAATAGAACCAATCCAAATAAGGTTCTATTCAGTCATGATTTAAAAAAAGATATGATTCTGGTATGATCAGAGACCAATTTTACGATATATTTATTTTCCCAAGAAATGCAGGAAATAAATTATAAAATGTTCCTAGGGAAATTGGGAAGGGAGGGGGGGGGGTGCAGAAATTTAAGTGAAATCAGCTGAAATGAGTCCAAAGAGAATATATGCACCCAAGTAAGCAAAGGGCAGCTTCACGTGGGGCTCTCATTTTGAAGGAATATTAAGATGACAAACGTGTGTTGAGGTTGAAATTTTGTGGACTTGGATTTTCCGGAGAAATTTTCTAATTGTAAATTGTTTCGAAGGGAAATTAAAACTATGAGCGCAGTAAAATGAAATATTTATTAATCTACTTTATTATATAATCTTCGAACATTTTCTAAACTGATTAAAAAAATATATCAATTTTAAGCCTGAGGTTTAATCAGATCTTTCAAGTCAAAGTAATCAATTTAAATTACTTGGCAATCTTAAAAAATATTTTCTTTTAAGAGCTAACTTTATTTTGTTTAGCTAAATTCAATAATTTGATTCAGCTTACAACCGCAATAAGAAATGTTCAGACCTTTAATACTAATTATTTTTATTAAGTTTTATTTTAGGCTCAAATTCTACATAGTAAAGGAAAGATGTTATAACTATCAAAGGGTGAAAAAAAAACATTTATTTTCATTTAATCGTTCAAAATTTTGTAAATAACGCATGCGTATATATTACAATAAATGCTATTACAACATGATATTTTATGCTTAATATTTTTTTAGATATTTTATGTAGTTAGCTTCGACTCGAGCCTAGTTTCTAATCAAAAAAACGACTCCGACTCAAGTCGACTCGCTGAGCCGGCTCAATTTTTTTAGTTTTTTTAATTTATAAGTATATTACAATATTCGATATTTTTTTTTAACATATTGTCGGATTAAAACACATTGAAGCTAACAGATATATAAATAAAAATAAAATTTTTTATAAAATTTAGTTTCCTGATATAAATAATTTATTTTTTAGATAATAAAAATATAAAATATCTTTCAACTGTTTGAAATTTTTTTTGATTTTTTTTTTGCAAATAATCTCTTAGTAAATTTTTTGATAATTTTTTTTTGGGGGGAAGATTGCTCATAGATTTATTTTATTTTAGATCTATTAAGATGTTTTTTTTTCTGATAAAATTTGATGTAAATATTAAATAATATCTTTTTTTAATAATCAAATAGGATTTATAGACCACAGGTATGTTGAAAAGTAATGTTAAAACTGAGCTAAGCTGGCATAATCCTAAACTCGGCTGTTTTTTGAGTTGAAAAAAAATCCGCTCAGGCTTTTTTTTGTTTTTTAATCGCCTAATGTAATCTATTATTATTTATTTTTTTAGTGTTGTTAAACGGCTCGTTTTGAGCCGATTTTTAAAAACGGCTAACTCAATACTTCACCCAGAAAAATATTATGCAACCTGAAGATTTTGCTCAGAGAAGGAACAAAGGTTTATACTTATATTATCGAAATCTCGAGGCTTAGTCAATATTTTTCTGGCCAAAATATTGAGGGCCAAAATATTGAGTTAGCCGTTTAACAACACTAATTATCAGTGTTGTTAATAGCGCGCTACTTTTTTCAGTAGCGGTAGCTATAGCGCGCTAATTTTTTCAGTAGCGGTAGCTATAGCGCGCTACTTTTTTAAAAAAATAGCGATAGCGGTAGCTCGCTACTAATTTAGAGCTACTTCGCTACTTTCAATTTTACATAATAAATACATCTAAATATTATTAAAATATATTTTTTATAAAATCTAAAATTATAATCCTTTTTATTTAATTTAATTTTGAAATTTAAATTTATATTTAAAAATATACATTATTGTTATATATTAGATCTAAACAGTTGTTAAATAGCAATCTGTATTTAATTTATATTTCGCGTATTCATTAAATTATATATTTTTGAAATTCCGTTATTGGTATGTCCTTGCTTTTATCTTATTTTATATTTCATTTTACATTTTATATTAAGCATTATAAATCTTGTTATGTGTGAGATTGTTGAAGATATTGTAATTTCTTTAGAAAATGAGCAAAATATAGATGATACTTTCCCAAAATTCAAGAAATACTTTAACCTTGAAGAAAAAATTAATACTGGATATCGGTTCGGTGCAAGATGTGCCGCAAAATTATCTCTTCAAATCATACAAGCAGCTTTAATTTGAAAAAACATTTAAAGGTAATATATTGAACAAATTTAATATCAATGTGTAGGCTAATCTTTAATTTTTAAAATAAATTAAAATCAAAAACCAATCATTTTTTTTATATATTCATAAATTTTATCTAAATTATTTAAAACATTTTAAAATAGTTATTTCAATCATTTTTATGTACTTATCTCCTACATAATTTTTATTCCAAGTATTTTATAATTTTAGACTGTGCACACTTCAAATTATAAAGAGATTGAAAAATATCTCAAAAGTTTTGGGGTAATGGAAGAAGATAAACCCACTTCCAAATCAAATTTAATACAAACAAAATTAACCAATTTGGATTCATCAACACCTGGTGTATCCCAAAAATTGGCTGACAAAGTCATTATGAACTTTATAATAAATACAGTTCAACCATTATCCTTGGTGGATAATGATTCTTTTATAAAGATGATAAACACTTTTTCTCCACGGACCAAGATATTTTGCCGGCAGACATTCATGGCAAGAATTTTGGAGAGCTTTAAGGAAATGAAAGAATATTTGATATTAAATCTATCAGATGTCTCCTACGTCTGTACAACGGCAGATTGCTGGACTCATAATAGAAGGTAAAAATGTTTATTTTCTTATTTATAATATGTCATATTTTTAGAGGTTATTTAGGAGTAACTGCACATTAGATTGATCCTAAAAATCTAAAAATATATTATTAATTACCTTGTGTATAATAATTATATTTTTAAAATTTTTATTTACCATAATTTATTGCTATTTTAATATTTTATTTATAAATGAATCTAAATCTCAGATAAATTTAAATTTTAAAAATTAAAATGGTATTCTTCTTTTTTTTATAATAAATACAGTCACTTTATATAAATTAGATTTCCAGATCTGTATGATGATGATAATGTAATAGCTGCTATCGTTCATCCTAGTTTCAAGTTAAATTGGCCATATATTAATTTGACTGAATCTAAATGGCAACTTGATAGGCTGATGGTAACGTTAAAAAATGGCATGCCTAACCACGATACTATAGCAAGATCGAAACCGCAGCCTTCCAAAGACGATTTTTTTGAAATAAATAATAATAATAATATTGAACCTATAGATGCTTTTTTTAAATCTAAAAATACTAATTTAAATATTTTTGATGATTTTTTTCATATAAAAAGTTTGTTTATTAAATTTAATACTGCGTTGCCCTCAAGTGCTAGTGCTGAACGATTATTTAGTATGGCAAAGCTTATACTTTCTGATCGTCGCTCTAGACTTGGGGATGACAGTACCGAAATGTTATTATTATTAAAGTGCAATAATAAATAAATTATATATATATATGTAACAAATTATTGTCATGTTTTTATATCAATATTTTATTTGTGGAAATAAAGTTACGTAAAAAAAAATATTTAAAAAAAAAATCAAAATAGCGTAAAAAGTAGCTAATAGCGCGCTACTCATTTGAAATTTTTTTTATAAAATAGCGGTAGCGATAGCGCGCTACTTTTAAAAGTAGCGTTTAACAACACTGCTAATTATTATATATTATTATTATTATTTATGTATATGTACGCAAGCCATTTCTATGTGAAAAAAAAGGACAAAGTTAGAAGCTGTTTGTAAATAAATTAATAAATAAAAAAAAATAAGAAAGTTATTATTTTAAAAAATAAAAATAACGAAGGGCGGAAAAAAAATTTAATATTATAATTAAAAACAATTCAAACGCATTTTTACTAGCGTAGCTCATTTTGAGCCGATTTTTAAAAACGGCTAACTCAATAATTTGTTAGGAAAATTATTATGCAAGCCTTAAGATTTTGCTCATAGGTGGCACAGAGGTTTGAACATCTGTTAACGAAATCTCGGGGCTTAGACAATATTTTTCTGGCTAAAATATTGAGTCAGCTGTTTTTAAAAATCGGCTCAAATCGAGCCGTTTAACAACACCAATTTTTACAAAGATATAATAAAAAAAAATATTATTTAAAACTTTGTAAGATTTAGATATAGTTTTGATTTATTTGGAATGCCTAAAGAAGAATTGACTCCTTACCTTATGTCACTTATATTTTTTTTATATTTATGTAATTATTATTCACCTTTGAAATAAATATAGTAATATATATATATCAGAGACCTGCAGGCTCGGCCCTAAGCCCGGGCCTAAAATTTTTTTTTAATATATCCGGATAGGACCTGAATTTTTTTTTAAATACCCGGGCCGGGCGATAAAAATTTTTTAAAAAATTTATACATTATAGATTATTATATTCGTCGAATTAGATATGTATGTAATGATTATATATATTTATGATAAATATATTATTGGGAGGTTAACATAACACTACCTAACACCTATAGTATAGAATTGCATAATATAATAATGGTTTTCATATCATGATGGAATAAACAAATTAGGCAAAGGATATTTAGCCCGTTGGCGGCAAATTCACATTTAATGGATGAATGCATCAATATATAAAACAACATTAAATCCTAATAAACAGTTGCATTTTTGACCAAAGAAGTATAAATTCTTATTATAAGATAAGAAATAATAATAA